GGGGGGGGCCCCGGTGCGGGCACTACCGCCGGCTCCGTGCCGTCCGCATCGCCCCCCGACCGCATGGGCGGCCCCAGGCGGTGCCTGCAACCCCTCCGGGACGGTGACACCGGGCCCGGAGCCCCGAACGGTGCTGTGAGCCGGGCCGGTACCGGGCACGTCCAGAGACGTCACTGCTGAGGGAGGAAGAGGAGGGAGAGAGGGGAGGCGGGGAGACGGGGAGGAAGAGGAGGAGAGGGAGGAGGAGGAAGGGAGGGAGAGGAAGGCTGAGGAGAAGGAGAGAGGAGCGGAGGGATGAAGGCAGATGGAGGATGGAGGAAGGAGGGGGGGAGGGGGGGCGGAGGAAGAGGAGGAGGGGGAGGGAGGAAGACGAGGAAGAGGAGGATGGGAAGAAGGCCGGACACCGCGGAGAGCGCCGTGCCAGCACCGCGGACAGCGCCCGCCCCAGAGAGCAGCCCGGGCACCCCGGAGAGCCGCAGAGCGGGGGACCCTCCGGCACCGGCGCCCCTCGGAGCAGAGCTGGAGGCCGCACTGTACGCCCCAAACCTCGAGCTGCCCGCCGCAGGCAGAGGGCTGCTCACCCTGGAACCTACTGCCGGCACTGCCGGGTGCCGCCCTGGCCCGAGGGTCCTCGGACCTCGCCGGCTCCTGGACAGAGGGAGCCCTACGGCCAAGGCTCCCAGGAGCCCTGCTCAGCCGTTCCCTGCCAAATGTTTCCCAGCATTAAGCGCTGCCAGGGCTGCAGCTCGGCCAGATCAGCCTCTAATCTGGGGAACAGCCTCTGGTTAATTATTCTGGGCCCTCCAGACTATGGCCAGGGTGACTCAGCAAGCAGCAGCCCAACATAGACAACATCAGCCCCAGATAAAGCCAACCCCACACCAGGGGCCACCTCGACCCCAGGACACCCCACAGTGACCTGCATCCCCGAGCCATCATCCAGCCTTGCCTCCATGTCCACTGCAAGACTGCAAGGGGTGCAGAGAGAAAATCCCCCAAGACAGAAAGCGTAGGAGCAGCCTACTGTATCGCTTCCCCTCCTGCCACAGAACTGCTCCAAACAGACCCTCCAGCTCCTGCCACCTCCATGCCCACAGGGAGAGGGATACATGGTGCTTGGGAATGGGGAAATTGTCCCCTGTGTGTTAGTGCTAAGGCCCGTTCCCCCCTGTGCCCCATGAACAGCAGGGTCTGGGGACACGGAGGAACATCCAACCCTAGAGCGCTGAGCAGCCTATGCCTCCCTCCCAGCCCCAGGAGGGAGGTACCTACCATCTGCCTTGGAGTGGCTCTCCATGGGGTATCCCCATGCCAACCCAGGGGGCAAGGGACAAAGGACAGGGGGCATAGGGCCAGGCGGCAATAGCGGCACACGGGGCATTATTTAGCAATGTTCTTTTATTTCCAGTTTTAAGGTGAAAAGATGCCTTTAAATCTTCAATTAAATACTCCATAAAGAAAAAAAAAAAAAAAAAAGCAAAAAAAAAAAAAATTATTTACAAATTCACGTGACCAGTTATTGAATCCTTGTTTTAATAATTACACGTGCGGCTCGTCACATCCGGTGCTCTATAAATACAGGGGACGCAGATGCGGGGCCGCCCCGTTGCTTTGCCCAATTGTGGCCTTAAACGTTTGGGGTGGGGAGGATGGGGGCTTCAGGGGGAGGACGGGGACTCAGCCTGGCCCAGAGAGAAAGGGTCACACATTTCCTCCCTCGCCCCCCCCTCCCGCCCCCCGGCACCCTCCCCAGGTGTCATAGCAGGAGCTGGGGGGAATTATTTATATTTAAAATAAAAAACCATAGGGAGGACTCCAGGTGGTGATAGGGGAATAGAGAGAGGACAGGGGAAGGGGAGAAATCACACTCCTGTCCCCAACCCAAATTTAATAAGTTTATATATATATAATCTCTCTATATTTCAGCAAGGAAGCGGGAGGAGGAAGAAGAGGGGGGAGAGGAGGGGTGACATCCCCCCCCATCTCACCCCTTCCCCCCCCCCTTGACATAAGCCTGGGGGGCTCAGCCCCCACTCCCGGTGACACAGGGTGCTGTGCTGGGAGGGGGGGACAGAAGGGGCCTGGAGCAGACCCACAGCGACAGCCACCTCCATCAGCATCCATTTATTATCATCGTGACAAACTAGTACAGGCCTGGCCAACAGAACAGGGACGAGGGGAGGAGGGAGAGGAGAAATAGAGAGAGGGATGCTGTTGGGGGCACAGCAGATCCCTCGGCCCCGGCATGAGCAAGTCCAGGGGGCCAGGGCTGGGAAGGGATGGAGTCACACCCCACGGTGCCCCATGCTCTCCCCCCTTCCTCCTCCTCCTCCTCCTCACAGCTGCTCAGTTGTTGTCCGACTCATCCTCTGCTTCCCGGAGCCAGGTGAAAAATGCTGTCACTGATTTCAGGGCCACCCCTTTGCCCTGCTGCTCGGCTGGGTCCTTGCTGGACTCCCACTTGTAGAAGGCCTCCTCCTTGATGACGTCCTCATCATAGAGAGCATCGAAGAACATCCGCAGCAGGTCTGCATGGGATAGAAGGGAAAACCCTGCTACTCCCCAGCCAACAGCCACCTTCTGATGGCAAGGACACACCTGCCCACCCCCCCCTTCTCCCTACATCGCCTGTCCCTGTGCATGACACTCACTTGGAGGCTGGTCCAACTTCACCACCAAAGCTTGCAAGGCATACAGTGCCTGAAGCTCCTTCTGCTCATCTCGCATGTACTTCTGCAGCAGCTTGGCCCGGTTGCGGATGACCAGGGCATCCACACGGTATGGGTTCTCAACTGCAGGAGAGGAGGTGTGAGAGGGGAGCTGCGAGGGCACATCAGGCCCCCACCTCCTCCCAGTACTCACAGATGATGGCTGAATGGCACACGGATGTCATCAGGGCCCTGATAAATGTGTTGGATAAGACGTGCTGCTCACTTAAGTTGGCCTGAAGGAAAGAAAGAGGGCCTGTGAGATGTTAATTGAGCCAGGAGGATGCCTTGCAGGCATTCTGCCCTCACCCTCACCTCAATCCAGTCATATATTCTTTGGTTGTTCGAGTTCTCCTTCAGCAGTTTGTCCATTTGTTTGCACAGCTCCTCTGAGGTTAGCTCCTTGCAGCTTGGCGTGTCCGAGTTGTCCCCCATTGTGTACTCCAATTTCTGGGGGATGCAAGAGAGGCAAGCTGTTAGGTGCAATACAGGGGAAGGCTGCTCCCAGCAGCAGGATCTGGAGGTCACAGTCCAGCTCTCACCTGCTCTGTGACAAATTTGTTGACATCCTGGTCCTCAGGCAGGAATTCCTTCCAGCTCAGGCCCCCGTCCCGCCACAGCTTGCCTGCGGTCTTCTGGCTCTGCAAGAAAACCTCAAGTCAGCCCTCAGTGCCACTGCTCTCCATCCTGCAGCCAGCTGCCCCGGTTCCCAGATACAGCAATGGGCATTGCCCACCACCGTTCTCTCCATGTCCAAAAGGGTTTTGATCCCTCTTATGTGCCCGCCCCAACACGTAAGCTGGCAACTATGTGAGCAGCACGCACTTACCATGCCCTTGCACAATAAGCCCAGCACCTCGACCAGCAGTGTGGTGGCTTTCCCAAGGGG